GAGGGGTGCATGTGTGGTGCCCATGCTCCGGAAGGCATGTGGTGTTTCCAGCTTAGGAAATGCAGGCAGGGAGAGCAATGGCTTTGCCACAGCTTCTCCACTCACATGCCCCTGGACAGCTCCCTGTGAGATCACTGGGAAAGAGGGGATGAAGGCAGCACTGCCCAGCCATTTTCGTTTCTGTGCTGATCTTCCAGAGAGTCAAAATACTTCAACAAAGCAGCCTTGAGCATCAGTTCACACTCATCCTGTTTTCTTGCAGGAATAGAGCACAGGGTACCTGAGTCTGGGGGCCTCAGATTGCTGAAGGAGTAGGGGCAGGCAGCAGATGGTCATCCTACTAAAGAATAAGATCTCTCTTATGGATCTTTGGGCTCCATTTAGGAATTATTCCCATCTGTTAAGGAGAAGGTAAATGATCAATCTCATTTCTACAAGCATCAGGTGAAAAGGCTGTTAGAATAAGTTTTCTGTGTATATAAATCTATTATATAGGGCATCAAATGCGACAAATAGCACTCCTATTTCTTCTCCTTTTCCTCACATCTATCTCTGTGCAAACTGCATGAAAATGACTTGGTGTTTCACAGTCAGCATTATTTCTGATGAATTATGAATGTGTTTTTCTTAGGTTCTCTTTTGGGTGGTTGTGGGTTTGTGTTTTTTATTTTATTTAACTGAAAATAAGAGAAGTATTTCTTTATAGTCCCAACTGAAAATTTTGCTTACAATGCAGTGTTTCTTGCCTCTCAAAGTGAATAGAAAGATAAGGAAAAGGGAAAATTAATTATTTTTGCCATCTGTTTCACAGAGTGGAGGTACCTTCTTTAGTACTGGACCCATAGAATTTACTTTCAAAATTCTACTCCTGTATAGATGTTAGTTCAGCCTAAGCTTATGCATGGTTGGGTCTAGAATTTTAAAATAATTAGATAAAGCTATGTAGTTTATGTAACAATTTTGGTACTAGAGCTTTGTGATCCCTTGAATTTCTCTGGAAATACACCTATTTTTTTCTGATGTCAAAAAACTAACTACAAAATTGTGTTGGACCATATTCTTAACTCTTAACTTGTGTGGATATAATTTCATTGACTTGCAATAAAATCTGAATTAGCCCCACCTGATGAACTGTTAGCCTTGCAGGTCTGATCTGCTTTTTAGGCTGCACAGTGATGTCCCTCAGGGAATTAGAAGATAAAACTGAGTCCAGGAAACTTTGTGGTACTGCTGGTGGATTAATTCTTAATATATTCAATCAGCAGTTTCACTCTATTGTAGAGCAGCCTGTGATTAAAGTTTTTGTGATCTTCTCCAAGTCACATCTTTTCTGAGAGGATTTCTAATGTCTATATAATGTTTCATGTCTAATTTGTATATATTGTTCCTTTCCTGTCTGGTGATGAATTGGTTAAATTATGTTTTTATTTTTCTTCTAATTAGTGTATTGCTCCAGATGAAACTTATTCTGAGTCTGCAAGTAAACTCCAATATTAGCTCTCATTTTTAAAATTCTAGATATCACAAACATCAAATCTCAACAGAGATCAACACAATATATAGGGTACATTATTAAAATTAAAAGACAAAGTTCTAATAAGAACTAATGTTATTTTTGACAAAATAAATACTCTATTAAAATTCAATCAAGTAGGCATCGTATAGAAAATGTTTTTAACTTGTGACTAAAGACACATGCTAATTTCAGAAAGCAATCTTTAATATGGTAACAGGCAATCAGAGTAATTTCTCAACACACTTTGTGTCCCATTCTTTCAAGGGCTGCATGCCCCAGAACACTGTTTTTTGGCATGAGTTTTTAACAAGAGTTACTTAAATCTGCTCTTATTTAAATTACACTATGTGGTTATTCTTCTGTTTAACAGGGTTAGCATTTATTTCCAGTACAGCTGTTAAGTGGGTGTGGAGTATGGGAAAAAGGCAAGTCATATGTGAAGAATAATCTTACTGCCTTTTAACAGGTGACACCTACAAATGCTGGTTTGTTTACACTGTGGGACTGTATTCATGATTACACCAATGGGAATATGCAAATAATCTTCTGAAGTCATGGCTAAAAAGAAGTTACTTTAATGGTAGAGCACCATAAATGAGAGAAGGACAATTTGCCAGGTGAGTTTTAGTGACAGTCAGGGTTGGACACTGACAAACCACACCAAGAATCCAATATATCTAATGTTTCATACCATTTGTAGTTATCAGCAAATCAGTAGTTCTTTATTTTAAAATAAACTTTATCTTTTGATTGCAGGGCACTGCAATATTTCTCCGGAATTAAAGTATGTTGGTTTATATTTTACATTTCAAAGTCCTCTTAAAACTTTTGGCAGACATCCAACTACAGAAAGGTAAGTATTTCCTTCTGCCCATACTTGAATCAGGGAAACATAAGGATGTAGAGTCTCCAGACTGAGAGCTGGCCACAGAGTCACCTGTAATACACTATGGCAGTAGAGGCTGGTGTTACTGCACTTGCCACACAAATATATTCCACTATGTTTTCCTCTGATTTGTAGTAGAACAGCCAGAAAAAGCCACAGCAAAAGCAGTAAGAAATCATGAGAAACGGTATCTTCAGTCAAGATGTGAAAGGAGATGGTATACTGATGAAGAAAAAATACAGAAATGTTGTCTTACATCCTGAGAGCTGTAGCAGTAACAGTAAGTCACTGGGGCAGAGATTAAATGAGGAAGAAGACCGAATGCTAACGGAGAAAATGAAAGAAAAATCAGCCTTATGAATGGGTGTTGTCATGTATTAAACCAGTATCCATCTGACTTGATAGAAACAATTGCTTAAAAACACCGCCAAAGGAAGCTGAAGCCATACAAGAAGGTTGTGGAGGTGTAGTGATGCATGATCCAACAAGGTACACAGCAATGATCTGTAAAACTTACTACTTCTCTTTTTATCTTAAAAGCATTGCAGGAGGCTCTCAGCATGCAGCTACTACCATCTAGCTAAATCCTTTCAACTAGGAACATCGTCTTCAAAATATTTCCTCCTTTCCCAACACAGTCAAGTGTGAAAGAGCAGACAGAGAGCCATGTTATTAAAAATCACAGGAAGTCCTGATTGAATGAATGTTTAGGGAACAGGCAAGTGTGTATTAAAATGTTTTTTTTTTTCCATTCATCCTTTCATTTGGCTTTGTTTCATTTATTCCTACTTCCTGTTTCCTGTAGTCTAATTTGGAAATCTCTGAAGCATCATTAAAATACAATTGTCGCAGCTCTGCTCAGGTCCCATATTGTCATTAGCTCTGCAATTAAGATTAATATTAATTTTAAAAAATACCTTTGAATATGTTGATGAGAGGAACTTTTGCAGTACGGAACACAGAATGAGTAGGAACCTTATAGGCAAAAATGAAGGTAGACTGTCACACAAATCAGTCAGCCTCTGACTTTCGCTGCTGTCACAGCTGGACAGAGGTCTTTGAGTCTCTCAATTGGGTTCCTACATGTCTGCATGCAATAGAAGATTAGCTGGGTGTTTAGGAAAAATGGAGAGAGTATGTACATCTAACTTACTGGGTTGTTCTTAGCTTGTTTCTGAATGACAGTGATTAGATGCCCAAAATGATGAACAACAAAATCAGGATGCTCTAATTACTTCCTGTTCACCCATGAGTGCACCACACACCTCAACTGCAGGAGCTGAGTTTCAGACTGGTAGAGACATAGCCAATGGGCAACAGCTTCCAATAAAATGGAAACATTCTCTTCAAAAAATAATTTTTTGCATTTCTTACGTGCAAGTATCTGGCAATCTACTACGAATCTAGGCCTAAGAACCAATTACTTTGGTTTGTAATGAGGTTTAATATTAATTTTATTACTGAAGGTTTGACATGACTAAAAGATTACCATAACACCCAAATGTAAGAAGTTTTGTTGTTTAATCCGAGGTTTATCCTTTTTTTACCAAAGTAGAGTTCATGATGACTCTGCCTCTAATGAGTTTTTTTGAGCTGTATTAAAACTTTTTAAAATATGGCTACTTAAATCTATATCAGGTAATTTTCCTGATACATAGAATAGCTTGAATGATGCTATTTGCAAAATTATGCAAATATTCAGCATTGTGTCACTGACAGGTAATAGACTGAATTCTGTCTTTGGCTAATCTGCCTGAGAGTCTGTTTCTTTTAGAGTATAAGGTCTTTAGGGATGGACTGACTATTACTGTCTTTGGGCAGTATCTATCTATGTTACCATAAATCAAATAGCAGAAAAAGGTTGCCTGACTGCATAGAGCATACATGGACACTTCTCTTTAAATGAAATTATCAGTCTTTCAATCTAAACTGCCAGCCTGCTAAACAAACACAGAATGTCCAGTTAAATAATACAACAAGATATTACTGGTGAAACTCACTGACTCCTTACATAAATATGACCATCAGCTTGGCAACACCATGAGAATATTTTGCTCAGTAATTTTTGCACTGCAACATAATCATTTAACCTGACATCCCATGTAACCATGAAATACCAACAGTTGTGGCATTATACAGAATCCTGATCTTGGATGGTGCACAAGAAATTCTTACATTAGGAATGTCTTCAAGACTGATTATACAATTCATATGCAGACAGAAATACAAAAATGCCTGGGTTTCAACAAAAGGCTTCAAGGAGCCGGTCCGTACTTTAATTGCTTTGTATCTGTAAAGCCTTTGATAATGCACACGTTTTTAAAGTACACCCTAACATAAGCCAACTTCTAAATTCAGCTTCATGAGACAGGTCCTTTTGAATTTCCTCTTGCATGAGCACACACTGCACCAAAATCCAATATACTATATCAAATTTATTCATTTTGCAAATATATGACTATTTGATAAATGGAGTTGAATGTGGGGTGGTTTTTTTCTTACTTTTAGCAAATGAAGAATGTGCCTAGTTTAGTTTGTAGCTAACATGTTGCATTCAAATTTCTTCTTTCTACAGTGCATTCTGCACTGCAATGAAGTTCTCTGAGATGTCTGAACTAGATTCACTGTAAGTACTTATCCAGAATATGCAATTAAAATGTAATTCATTTCTAGATATCATCAATATTCTGTCATTGCATAAGGGGAATGGACTAGGTGACCCATGAAGTCTATTCCTACCCTCATATCTGTTATGATTACTTTATATTAGTAAAATTGTTTTTTAAGGTCACTTTTATGTCATGGTTCCCCTTACACAAATATTTGGTACATTTAGCCACTTACGTGTATTTTTTCCAGTTCTGCTTTAGAATGGATTCAGTACAGGCAGATCACCAAATGAAGGAAAAACATGATATTTTGTTGTAAATAATTCATAAAACAACGTTATGACCCTTATTCCTCATGAGGCACCCAGATAATGAGCCACCCAAATGAAGCAGTGAAAACATGCACTTCCCCTGCCATGGGTGTGCCCCTGACAGACTCCTCAGGGTCACAAACCCATCAATCTCTTTTCACACATGAGCTAATCAATTCAAAGAGGGAAGTGCCAATGAGCTATTAGATCAATATGGTGAAGTATGGAGATTGATCTTATCCCAGAGTGACTACATTAACAGACTCGTCAGTGTGACCTCTGCCCTGCGGCGCACATTATACAGGATTGCAAGTCTGAGATCTGAATGAAGACCTCAGGTCATTGCTTTTAATAATCTGCTTTGCTGAAAGAATTAAAAGTAAATCTGTAAAGGGATGACTAATGAAAATATGAAGAGATTTCTGCTCCTCTAGTCTTGGTATGCTTGCAGAAATCACACCAGCTTTTCACAGCAGCCTGCAGCATCGGCTGTCTCCCACAGGCACCTGCTCGGCCGTGCCGGGCTATTGGCACTTGAGAGAACAGTTTAATACAGCCACTGAGAGAGCGTGCTCTCCAGAAACCAAATACAAAATGATAAGAAGTACTAGCTCTGTCAAAATCACTTAAAGTCTTGGCTGAGCTGCCAGACTGAGAGCTGGACTGGAGTCCTGGTGGTCTGAATTATTTAGCTGGTGTAAGTGGGATGGCAGGAGCTGCGGCTGCTGTGGAAGTTGCTCAGAGTGCTGCCATGCACTGAGTGTTCCTTCACCAAGCAAAATGTTCCCCATACTTGCATTAACTCAAGGTCCAGCCCTGGGAGCCAGTCCGCTTTCAGTTAGGCCAGAGGCCAGTGACTTTGGGGAGAATTGATCTGATCAGAGGAGCCTGGTTCACAGAATTTATAAGCAATATGTGCATGCATTCTATAATGCTCTGCTGTCCCTCAATCAACCTGTGCTGGTAAACATCACCAACTCTGCAGGAAGTCTGTACATGAAGTGACCACATGTAATACTATAAGCAACCATTTCAGGCATCTAATTTTAAAGACTCATTCTTTTAATATATAATTTCAGAGATGCTGAAAAAAGGGTACACTTTTTTGTCTCAGAGCATATTAGTATTGTTAATATTTTTAAACTCTGAATAATTTCACTGCAATGAAATATTTATGTATATAACACACTTTTAATACTGTATTTTTATTATACCAAACATTTTTATTGTTCATTGTATAATTGAATCAATGAATTAGGAAAAGGTTACTAAAAAAGGATTAATGCATTTTTAATGAAACTAAATGATATAACTTCTGTTAGTCACTGAGAATAATGGCAGATCTATCAGGTTTATACAGATAAGAGCTTTGTGAGTTTATCTGAAAGCCCACATAATGGCCCTCATTTAGCTGTAACCTAGAAAAACAGCTCTAGCAATCCTATTCAGGATTTTAATTCATTGTTTATGTATATGATCTCTCTTCCGCCTTGTGATCAGAACACCTGTCTAATGATGCAAATATGAATCTCTTTAGCAGACGCATCTATTTCCACTTGTAAAACACTTACTGAAAACAATGCTCTTTCAAAGTCTAAATGGAAGAACCAAGCAATGCAATACCACTGGGAAATGTTTCTGAACTCAGGGTAACAGACAGGGAAACCAGTGAGACCTCTGCACATTAATAGTGAGAATGTGAACATTTCAATACTCACATACCTCAAATCCTTAAATTAGTAGACCAGTCTAAATTATAAACACTTTGCAGGTAGAAACTACTATGCTTAAAGATACTCCAGTAGAAAATCCTTATATTGGTATAACACTGATTGAAATGTGAACACTGTACAAATGTCATGTAGAAAACTGTACAGCAGTTGCAAAGTTGATTTTGACTCCTACAGAGACACTAAATATGTGATCTTTGCAACCTAGCATTTAATTTTTGATTTTTTTGGAATGGATATAAAAATAGATAACAGAAGGTTATATTAGTACAGGATGTACTGAAGAGGAGGGACTTTATAATGACACCCTTAGAAATATATTTGCATTTTTTCAATTGGAGGTATGTAACCAAACCTCAAAAGAATGATTTTGGTACTTTTCTACCTTCCAATAGAAACTTAGAATATGCAGAACATGTATGGTGCACAAGATGCTGCAGTATTCCTCAAGAACTCGTCTGAATTCTGTGAGACCACATAATTCATAGTGGTGAGGCACAGTTACATAAATCTCACAACCAAAATGGGCATATTTTTTCCTACCACTAAACTGTGGTTTTTACATCATGTCCTTTCCAAACAAACTAAAATCTATTCTATAATAGAAGTGTTTTAGATCTAGAAGGGGTTTAAAATTCTGATATTATATTTGTACATTTCCACTTATAACGCAAGGAACCTAATACACATCCAAGAGTACAGGTCTCAGAAGGATTTTGATTCAGGAAAGTTCTTGTCCTTACCTCACTGATGGGAAGCTGGTGATTAAATATTTTCACTAAGATGAGGGTGGTTCTCCTGAACAGGGCCAAGGGCAAGTAAGGTTATAGCATATACAGAATAAAAACACCTTTTTGAGAAATAATAGTAACACTATCTTTTTAAGACTCAGTGCCTCACACTCAACAAGTGCTAGAAGTAAATGCTGCCTCCCAATGGAAATATATAGTTTGTTTCCCAATAAAACAACCATAGAATTTCTGATCTGATTGTTTTAACCTACCTCTAGTAAGAAAATAACAATTTTCATTCTAGATTTCACAATCAGATGTTTTGGTTTATGAATTTCATACCAATGGGCTCACAGTGTACTTCTGGAGTAAGGCTATGTCTTTTCCCTTTAAAAATAACCACTTGAAAACTGATCAGAAATATGAGGAAGCAAAACTGGAATAGTGGTTGAGTTCAAACAAGGTCATGAAGTTAATGAGAAATATATTTTATCTTATGATCCTGCCATTTACCATACAGCCTCACAACTCATAATTGCAATATCACTGTCACACTTGTGCTATCAACAGATGCCCCTGTCTGGTCACAGAATCTGTAGCTGCATTAGGAATATCTGCTAGTAGCATCTATTTAGATGCTTATTATGTATCTGAGTGCAAATAAATAATACACATAATGTTACAGTCAGCAAGACATGTCACTAAGTTCTTTGTAACACAGGAATGGATTTTAAAAAAACAACTCAAATTTCCACTGTAAGCAAGAGCTTATAGGCAGAGAACATTTCTGAAAACTTTCAGAACAGAAAAATAATCTTCTGGGGAAGTTACAATAGATTCTAAATACATGTCTAGAATCTAAATGATTCCTTAGCCTCGATAGAATAAATAATGCTTTCTAGGTAAGTACTGCAGCTCTTTTGATAACATATATATTAATAAATTAAAAATGTCTGTAGATTGACAAGTGCTTTGTGGGCTTATACTGAAAAGCCAATAGCTAATTATGAAAGCCTGACTTGACTAATTAATTATTCAGATGAACATTAGGTGCCTATTATATGCGTAAACATGGGAATTATATTTCCCCTAAGTAACTTTCTAAAATAACAAACCCAAAACATGTAAATTTGAAACAGACAGAAATGGCACTATTATGCCCTTATTGCACATGCAGAACTCCCACTGAATTATTCAGGGAACAGTGAATCGGGAGCCTCGATCTTCTGACTCTGAGCAGCACAGCAATAGCAGCACATGCCATGTAGTATTTGTTATGCATGTAATATTGATTTAGCTCATTCTTGCTGGTCATGTTTCAAATTCATTTCATGTTTGGAAGATAGGAAAAAGGAGTAGCATCAATCTCTGGATTGATATTTGCAATATATTTTTATGCCTGTTGAACACAAGATTATCTGATAAATTAGTAACACCATGTCTTTTGATTGCAGGAAGAACAAGCCTTTGAAAATGAGCACCAGTGAGATAATGAATTGTGCTTTGGAAAGGTTTATACTTGCTATGTTCCCCACCTCCTGTACGTAAAGACTGGGAGAGCGCTCGTACTACGGAATGGATTAGCTTATGTTTCTTTAAGGCACAAACCACAACAAAGTAATGCATAATTGTCCTTTGCATTTAAAAAAGACCATGCTCTTAAACAGGATACAGCAACAGGGAAACCAGAAATAGATGTGACCAGACACCTGCTGACAAACAGTGACAAATCCCACTGACACTGCAATGACCCCCAGTTAGTCAAGATTTAATTAAAGAGTATAATTAAGTCAGTGGAACAGAACTCTAATGAGTGGTGTTTTTTTATATGGGTAATTACACATAAGAATACAAAGTAAGCTAGACCCTGACATATATCATTAAAATGAACAGTATAGAAGGACAACCAGGGCTTAAATATTTTTGATTTTCTCCACAATAATGCAGGTTGTAACACCGCATCTTGCCAAGCGTATGTAACATGCTAACAAATGCCCCTGGCCCAGCAAAGCATGTGTCTAAGCATGATGGTAACATGACCTTGGTGGCACAATGCACATCACCAGGGCTACACATGCATGGGTCTGCCAGGCTTTGTCTGTCACTGTGTTTGCCTGTGTTTGTTCTGGGCAGGGGTCACTTGGGCTCCTTTTCTAACAAATGACATTCTGTTGCTATTCTCTTACAAGTAACATAGCCTCTGGATTTCATTTATCACGAGTGTTGATTACAAGAAAGACATAGGTTACAAATTGTTCCTATGATTATCTGCATGTTTGGCACAATATACCTTTACAATCAAATGACAGAGATTTTTTACAGCACATCGAGATCCAGTTCTCTGGAATTTATTCTGGGAATCTTCAGGCAGTTGAATGAAATAGCTGAAATATCTCTGACTACGTGGTATTTGCTGATATTTGCTTATATTTCAAACATAAAAGTATTGTAAGGTAGATTTACTAGACCAACATTTTAAATTAGGGTAGAAAACATCATCATGAATAATGATGACAATGGTAGGGGAAAAATAACTTTCCTATGGTCTTGAAGATTTAAAAGAATGCTTGTGTAGTTTGGGGCCAGTCCTCTGCTGGGATTACTCTATCTGCTCCCAGCTGGTAGCCTGCAGTTCATGACAGCCTTTTATCCGTTATCAAAGCAACAAGTGGAAAAGCAGATCCTCCTGCCTGCTAACACTCTGTTCTGTTCTCTCTGTAGAATTTCTGCTTCTAAATCTTTCCTTTTAACAACTCAGATTTCCTTCCTATGGCTGCAGGAGACACTAAATATCTCTCAAGTTTCTAGCTCACTTGTCTAACTTAAACTCTGCAGAACACTAAAGGAAGAAAGAATAATTGCACTGCACCAACAAGTTTTCTACAGGAACTGACTGAAATGCAGAATGAGCCCGATCTTCTCACACTGGAGAGTTTAGCAACTGAATTCAGTGACAGCAAAAGAAGAACCTAATTACGCAAACAACATGGTACTAATATAATGCTTTAAAATTTATGTTAGTACAAGTTTTACTGTTGCAAAAACAAAGCAATCAAACTGCATTGAAACTTTTGTCATATATCCTGCATTTACTTTGCATTTTTAGTAGCATAGGAAAAATAAAAAAAGGTAGAACTATGAGATATTTAAGTATATTTAATGCAAATTCTTTCAAGCAAAATTTGTCCACTGAAACGGAACAGTTATTTGTTATTAAAGCAAATATAAATTAATATATTTTATATTGTAAAAATATATATCCCACTTTCCTTAAAATCATGCTGCCATGAAGTAATAGGCCTTAGATACACAATCCTGTAACAGTAACTACAATCAGGTAAAAATTAAGAGAATTTACTAAGCTGTTATGTAAGCTATGTTAAACAAAAATATACATTAAGATTTTGGGGGCTTTTGCTAAACACTTTGGTTTTCAAACAGATTTTCCCACAATTTATGACAGTCATGCAATGACAGAAGATGCCATGGGAATGCCATCGTGGCAGTAAATTTGGCTTCCTCTCTGGACCCAGGCCTTTGCCACCAGGCTCCTCTGTGCATGCCAAGGTGCCCCTCTGTGCTGGCCACAAGTGATGGGGCAGGGCCAGGTCCCAAAAGCACTGTGCCCTGCCCACAGCACAGTCCTGTCATACTGAGGAGAACCAGCCCTGGGGCCTCTGGTGCTTTGCTGAGATGTGGGCATAGCATCTCATTTTCATGAGGTGCCTGAGGTAAACATTCTGGAGAAGGACACAAAAATTTTAAGATAAGAAATTTCTATCCTAGTTTTATTCCCGTAAGCTGAAGCACATGCAAAAATCCTATGCAAAAACAAACCCAAAAAACTTTAATACAATAAAACAAGGGAAGTAATGAAAATTATGCAAATTATTTCCCCATTTTCATTTTTCTGCAGGCATGTGCCAGAATAAAATAGGGGTCAGCAGGAGTGACTTCTGCATGGGCTGCAGACACACGAGTGCATAATGGGTCCCTGACGTCGTCTTCTGCCCCATGTGTGTCCCCGCGAGGCTGCCCCTGCCCGGCCGCGTATGAATGAACAGAAGTGCCTTTCATCCCCCACTTGCCTGGCGCTTCAAAAGGAATTACGAAAATAGCAGCAACAAAAATCCAGCTGCCTGCCAAAAGGCCCGCACACGTCCCATTCTCACAGGCATGCGAAAGGTTGGAGAGCTCAGCAGAATTTTTATGTACGGGAGCAGGCCCAAGGAAAACTCACACGCCATAACCAATTGTGGACAGAGGATCATCTATCAGCAGACAAATGCAGGAACTCCAGAATGTCTCTCCTCAAATGAAATAATATATCTTTGAAAGCCAATGCCCGTTTTAGGCCTGAGGCCCATATATCAAGCCTGAGAGGCTTGTGGATACGCTCCAGGGCCATTAACCTTCCACCTGTTTCCCCTTGTCCTTCAGGATGAGACCCTGCCCTTGATTTTACTCCCTTCCCCTGTTCATCTTCCGACAGAGTGTAAATGTAAAGCAGAGGGCCTGCGAAATAATTCAAAGGCAATGGACCAGGGACATGGTTACAAATCTCTGCCACTGGCACTGTGACTTATGCAGGCAGTTTGTCACACATGAGCCAGGTGACCTCTGTGACATAACAGAGAAAAATATCGCCGGAGATCAAAAGATGAGATTCAGAGCAGTCTAAGTAACTCTGGTGTACACAACCACGCTATGCAGTGGCCAAGGGTTTCCTCTCCTCCCAGTGCTGCTCGCCCCACTCACTAGTGGGTGAGACACACTGCTGCTAATTTCAGTAATCTCTTTTTCTCTCATCTCTTTGGAAATTTTTCCTGTAACCTGAACATCAACATTTGTCTCCTTCTGAAGCCTCTCTTTTTCAAAAAAGATAATTAGTTTGACAAAAAGGGACAGCAAAGTGTTGTTCAGCAGATAAAAATTAATGAAAAAATGCATCATGATTGAAAAGGGTGAATTAGTCACCTTTGTAAACATGTCTATTTTAATAAAGTAATTTTTGAAATTTTAAGTAATATGAGCTCTACTATATATCTAGTATATTTCTCTAGTATTGCAATAAAAAGTGTTCAAAGTTCAAAGTTTTATTGGGATTCAACCCTCGTGATGGGAAAAATGAGAGTAGAGTTAGTATTAAAAATGATGTAATAGACCCAGATAACACACTTCTGTACCTATTAATATTTTACAAAGAGATATACTACAGAATCAGAATAACAGTCACTTGAAATAAACCAAATCAGATTAAATTTTAAAAAATCTTGAATTCATTTTTCAAGCTGTGTGCTACATAGGAAGTTTCCCAGCTGTTTTGTACATTCAGAACTCTGCTGGGTGCAGACAAAAGAGTAAGGACTAATGCAGTGCTTCTCTTTCACTCCCCGTAACCTAATGGTATGTCTGGTATGGACATTTAATTTTGTCTATTTCATAAATTAAAGAAACCTCACAACTGTCACAGTATCCCTGGCATGATGATGAAATGAGAAATACAACTGTAGCTAAATCAGCCTAAATCCCATTCTAATCCTAAATCACTTTGGCACTTGCCAACATCTACTTGATGAAAAACTCAGTTTAACCCATGAATGTATCTAAAAATATACTTGCACAGACACACACACACACACAGAAATTCAGCACATTGATTACAAGTGTGCTAAGTGTTACCTTATCAGCTATTTCATCCTGCTTCGTCTCATGCTGACTTGGAAAATTTTGCAATGTTCAAGCTCTTTCTCAAAATCACCTCGTGTTCCACTATGGAAATATATCTAAATTCACTACATCTAAAAGCATAAAAAAACTGGGCAATAGATAGGTTTTGAGGCTAAATCGTGCAGCAGTTACAAAGAAATGCACAGCTGAAAATAATTTCATGTTTCCCGTTGACTAAAACCTGATGTACAGCATAAACCACTCTGTTGCAGAATGCTGCAACGGTAAACACAGTAAATGCAAAATTAGTATTACAAAAAGATTACTGTGAAGTGTTGCCACATGCATTTGTAAAAATAAGACAGCTGTTTGATTTTATAGTGCTAAAATCTTTTGCTTTTGTTCAGGCCATATGATTAAACACACATTTTCTTCTTTTTAGTATCTCTAAAAAAGTCTGTCAGAGACACAACAGTCAGCAATTACAGGTCACTTTTGTCACCAGTTTCAACTGAACTCCAAGTCAAATTCCAGATGTCTTCATTTTTGAAAATATCTAGTGTTACTTTTCGTGTAAAATATAGGTGTTATAACCAAATTTTTGGCAGTCAGATCTTTAGCTCTTTTGCACTCCTACAGAATATATTAATTAATTTTTATTTCATTTTGGTTTTGCTTAGGCTTTCTGCATTTTTTCATATATTTGATGTATCGCTGAAAAAAAATTAATATTTAATTTCAAAAGCACCTAACCCAATCCATTTCCTTTTACAGTAAGTATGATCTAGTGCATCTGCTTTTGTAATATTCATGAAATCTGGAAATCAAGGCTAGGCATCATATGCTACCATCATATGCTAATAGAGGGTTTTGCTCATTTGAGTGTTTGATCTGTTTTGAATGCCCAAATGGCCTATTAGAATTTCCAAGACATAAACTACTGTAAATGTTATTATATGTATAAAAATACTATTATGTGGATATAATAAATTTTAATTTTTATAGATACACACTCAGATTCACATGAAATAATTTGTCGTTTACCTCCTGCCATGTGTTTTTTGTGTAAATAGCTGCTGAGCTATTTTATAAAACTGAATGTTAAATTATGCTGATTCTAAAGAAGAGAATTTGACTCTTGGTTATAATATAACACAATATTTTGTCTTGAGGAAAAAAGCCTTAAAATAATTGGACTACATAGTACACGCATGCTACAAGCCCAGTTAATTGTATTTTTGAGTGGATATGCCTCTCTAATTCAGGCATTTGAAACAAAATAAAGCAAGGAGTATTTATCATTAGCAGTAATATAACAAATAGTAATAATTTGGGGCATGAATCATTCCTTACATTCCTTTCCAACTACAGACAATTTCTGTTGGGAAAAGTGCCATATAGTATCGACAGTGACAACAAATTGTATTGTCCGCTGAACATCTGTTTCCGACTCCCACACTGATATTGCAGGTTGGCTACTTCTGATTTAGTCTTCACAGGCTGCCCAGCCACAGAGGAACTGGAAATTACTGGTACATTCAACTTTTATTATTGGAACACAGGAAAACTTTATCATCATGCTGGGAAGGTCTATGTCTTTTGAAATATTGGAAGGAGGATTATGTGAGCACAGAAAGTCACATGCGACAATTCTTAGGAAGAAGAAGAAAAGTGACTCCTGTTTATTGTGTCTGTCCATACACACGGGTATGAATGTCTGAGATTAAAATCTCAAAATGGAACAGCATTTCTATTTGCAAGATGTGATGTTTAATGGCAAGGGTTTGATGGGGCCTGTTTATTCTTAATAAAACCAGCAGCATTGCAAAAAAGGACTGGGTTCTCCCAGTCTTCTCCCAGGTAGCAGTGCCCCTATACAAAAGACCTCTGGAGCTCAAAGCAGTTTCTGAGGTTTAGTTTGAATTGCAGGCTCTAGCCCCAGAGAACTGAGCTGTTCTAACTTGCGTTTACTGCACCAATTTACCATGACGGCAATTGAAAAGGTAAGGCTGTGTTAACTAGCTGAAAATACACCTGTTTAAAAAATCAAAGCCAATACTAAGCAATTTTATCAAAACTAAGGGGAGTTTGTTAGAATCATCAATGTCATTTTTCTCATAGTTACGCCACCATTGTTAGAAAAATGTTAAGTTCCACTTTGGCTGGGAAAAAGAAAAGAAGATACATTCTTGATAGGCACTGTGTATCAGTTTGATAAAGCTCCAACTCCTGATCTGTAAACTCTTTTG